CCGATCTCGAAATCGAAAAGAGTATCTTGCAAAGAAGAAATACGTCACGTGGCCGATAGAAATGCGTTTCTTGCTCGATGCACGTCTCCTCGGATGAGTGCGAGCCGTGAGAGAATTCACAACGATTTCTTTGCGCTCGGTCGTCCTCGATTTTAAGCCGTCCCGCCGCATTATCGTTATCATTCTCAATTTGGGACGTCGCGTCGTGCCGCGCGGCTGTCTCTGCCGCGAGAGACACAATTCTTTTTTTTTCCTCGCGTTGCGGAGGAGCGAATCAAATAGCGCTCCGGGGCTATCGATCGGGGCCAGCGGCTTCTTCAACTTCCGGTTGTCACGACGATGTGCCGTCGGTCGGCGCGAGAGAGGGACGCGATAAGGAGGAAAAACGCGCGATGGAAAGAGGGAGAGCGAGAGTCGAGGGACTAAGAGAGCGTAAATGTGGATAGGCAAGAAGAAAAGAAACGATCGCGGGGAAAGGGAACGTTTTGCCAAACCCTCTATTGCGCCACATTCACCCCGACGCGACGACCACATCCAGCAACTTCTCACGTCCGTGCAACCCTTTTAGCACTCGCGGCGACCACGCCACTTCCATCTCGAGGGTGAACGTGTACTCGCGCTGCCGTTACAGCAGGTATATAAGTTTTGAGGTTTATATCGGTTTATGTTGTGGATTAAGGCTTTCCTCCCGTGCCGGCGACGTAGCCACTTTCGTTCTCGCTATTGTCGCGCTCTCGAGCACATAATTTTCCGATGTGGTCCGCTTTGCTCGGCGTCACACAGTTCCTGAATGGCATCTGCAGTAAAACGCGGGCGTTAAATTAATTATTTTAACGCACGCGCACGAGTTTCTCGCGCAAATCCCGCCACGGGGACCGTTCCATCAATATAAATTTTAGTAAAATGTACGTCGCCACAGAGGAATGCGGAGACTTTTCTCATTTGTGCAATGGGATAGTGTATAATGGATCATTTAACTTGATGACCGCGATATTCCGCATGGTTCTCGGAGATATTTAGATTGTTATTGTAAAAGCTTATATTTACCTCCTAAAACACATTTTGAGAATTTTTTATTGACGTTAACTTTTTTCACTTACAAAATGAGAGACTTGATTTAGAAGATAAATTATGGAAGACAACTTACTTAAATTAATATCTCAATAAATTTTATTTCAAATTGCGATACACTTGAAAAACGAGTTAATTAATTATGTTTCCGTAAATCTAATTCATTTATAATATTTTCAAATATCAAAATTTGTCATTTATACTTTTTTATTGTTCATTTTAATATCTTGAATAAAAAGAAAATGAAATTTTTTCCAACTTATAAAGCCGCGTGATATTTAATAATAATCACATGAAACAGAGTAACAACAAATTGGGACAAACACTTAAACTTTGATCCTGACCTCCTGATTAAATTTGGTGTTAGATTCAAACAAATAAATTCCTTTAGAATCTAAAGCGATTTTTCACATAGTTTTCCTCTCCTTTTGTCATGCCATCTCTTCTTCATTCGACCAGCTTTTTCTCATTCTCTTTCTGTTTTCGGGTCTGTGAGAAACATACGTTTCCGATAACTTTTCCAATAATTGAGAATGTTTCTGGTAGCGAATGCTAACATAGACTTTTGTCGGTACACATTTCTAGAAATTTGTAAAGTGTGCGTGAATTGATTTTTTACAAAAACGTTTCCATAACCAATTTTTTTTTATTATTAAATAATATTGTGATTATATTAATTTTATTATTTTTATTATATATTACTATTATTACTGTATGCTCAATTACATAATTTATATATGAAAATATAATTTTTAAATTAACATTATCTATAACATATAATTGTAAATTTTAATTTTATATGATGTTATTACGCAATTCTGTATTTATGTTTTATAATTATCCTTATATAAGAAAATATTTAATAAAAAAAGAATCTTCGAAATTGCGTTAAACTGTAAAATTATATGTCACTAAATTAATTATTTAAGCAATTAATTATTCGTAAAAAATGTCAATACAAAATATAAAATAAAACAGAATTTATATTAACATCCATATTAGCGCGTGTATTAAAAAAGCATAATTCATTACGCAATCACAAAGTTTTTTGCGAGAGTATTTTAACACGTGACCTTTTTTCCACATGATAAAAATCTGTAAAATTATTCGCGTAGAACAAATGTCATTTCGTCTGCCGATTTTCGTTCCGACTTTTTCTCTCTTTTTTCTCCCTAAGGTTAGAATGACGCACAACACTCTTTGATTTCTCGTCTGACACGTTTTACGTCATTTCTACTTTCTCTGTCCCTTTCTTTTTCTCGCTATCTCGCTCGGCGATAACCAACGCCGCCTTTCACGTAATGACGGGCGAGTAAAACAATCATTAATCTGATCTGCCTCTCTCTTTCGCGTTTGTCTCTTCCGTTCTCTTTGCGGGTAAGCGGGAACGAACATTAATTATCGGAAAAAGGTGCGGCAAAAACGTTGAGCTCATGTGAGCTCGCATCTCACCGCGGCAAGCTCGAAAGTCCGGAGTAGAGCGGGAAAAACCTGCTTTTCCAACAGTCATTTGAAATCCTCTCTCCATATATATACATATGTTCGGGTTCGATCGATCGTACAATCGAACAATAATCTAGAGCCGCGTAAACGTACAAGATAAATGCACACGTGTGTATATGTATTGTATGTGCGCAATCATTCTGTCGATAGGCGTTCTATTAATTTTAATTCGCGAACGAAATCCGCGAATCTGCGTGCGGCGCACATCGTTTCATTGGAATTCTCCGGATCGTCCGTTGCGAGAAAATATTTAATTCGTTTTACGCGCACAATGGGATGTGCGAAGTGCAACGTATACAAGCGATATCGAATTCCAGCAGATCCGGAGGAAGATCTATTTTTACACGCGGGGCGAACGAGAGAGCCCGCGTGTTTTTCTCACATTTCCAACTACCCCGTTTCTCTATTCCCTTTTACCCCCTATTTCCCAGTTCCCGTATAGTAACGCGGAGATGCATCGACGATCGGCGCTCGTTTTTTTTAGAGGTATCTTAGACTCGATAACGGAAAACCTTGTTACCCTCTCAACATTCGTTCGTATATCTAGTTCCCATTTCTCCGCTCCACAACTTAGACGTGTCACCGGGGGGCTAACGACAATTCCCGTATTCTTTGCTCGGTTCGACAATGCGTCTTTGCACTTATTCAAGCTTTTCTTTCATCGATTTTCGTAGGAATCGCGCACAAAAGCTGCCCCATAAATTCCTCGTCGAACGAACGAACGAACGACAAGCGATGAGTTTTCGACAAGCTTCATTATGTAATTCCAATCGTCGTAGGTATAAATTAATTACGCTGCGCGTAATTTTTGATGAATATGAAATGTGTGGGGTTTGCGAAATTTAGTTTCACTGTAACGCATTATTATATTAAATATTATACGTGTGAGAGAAATTCTATGCGTTACATAAACGAATTATTAAATAATTTTGTCTACAAATTTATGCAATTGCTAACACAATTAAATATTTAATTATAATAATGAAATATTTTATTCTACACATGTATTTTATTTACGTATGTATTTGTTTAAAATACTTGTATATCAACGAGTTTATTACGAGTTTCTAGTCTATTTTTGTATAAACTTTTTCTGCTATATAAACACATTTATCCGCAACGCAGAAAATTATCTGTTACATCACTTTGAGGGAGAACAAAAAATAATCTTTACATTTTATCATTGTTACAAACTTTGATTTTTGAAAGCTAATGTATTTACATAATTAAAAATAATATAATCATTACAGATATATATAAAACGTCATCAACATCGCTATTAATATCGCGCATGTAATATTTATTCTTTTTTTCTTCTTTATAAAATATTTATACCTATATTTGCCATTTAAAAGACGCATTGTATTCAAATATATGTCTTGTCCCAAATCTACATATATTTATTCAATATGATTTTAAATGGCCGCGTTCGACACAGAATAGTCTGTAAAACAAAAACCAGCATTGACAACAGCTTTTTCGATTTTGTAGCGCGAAATATTCGCGAATTTTACCGATTACACTTATTGGCGAAACGCGGCGCGGCGCCGAAGGTGCTTGAATTGTGAACGGCGCTCAACTTTTAAATTATTACTCAGTTACTAAGGTTTTATTGCACTAATAATAAAAGCGAGCGATATCACGGCCAACCCGCCGGCTTTTCCACCTCGTTCTCCGTGCACAATTCCCTCCACGTGTAGGTGACGTTTTGTTGTAGCTGCGAAATATGGTCGTTACTTATATTGCGAGCTTCAGCACGTCACCAAATTGACGTAACATCTTTAATGCTTATGATACTGGAATGCAAGGCTGGTGTGCGAGATGAGATTTTTTTTTCTTTGCATTAGGTATCTATTTTTCTTTGTTTCCTTATTACACATTATTATACGTTATAGGTTCCTTCATGCGGAACTCAAACAAAAAGAAAAAGAAAAACAAAAAGAAAAATGAAAAAATTGCAATATGTGCACAGCAACTGCAATAATTGATAAGATACAGTATATCTTTGTGATGTTTGAATAGCTATTGAACTATTTTAAAAAGATTAAAAGATTCCAATTTGTCTTTCTCTCTTTTATTGTTTTATAATTTTAAAAAATTGTACTTTGGCAAATATAATTAGAGTAATTAGAATAAAAATCAACAAGCTAGTATATCTATAAATGATAACAAAAATATTTTTTTAAATATAATAATAATAAACTAATTTAAAAAATAATCATAACTCGTTAAAATAATTACGTAATTCTAATGTATAAGTAATTTGTAATGCAAAATTTATTTTCGATTGTGTCTTTCAAATGGAGGCATAAATATACAATTTTATTAATTTTAAGATTATATATTTGAGTAAACGCGTTATAATATTATATATAAATAATAAAAATTATTATGTATAATATATAGTGAGTTATATTGTTCAAAATTATAAGATATCAGTGTATTAATTATTAGTGTACTAACTAATTATGAATATACTAATAATTCATGTATTCGTGATGCTAGTATATTGTAACATAAAATACATTTAATCATTTTTGTACATATATATTATAGATATTACAATCATAAATAAGTTTTTTTTACATACTAATTAAGAAGCAGTAAGCCAAAAAATTATTCTTACTACTATTACTATGATGCTTACTATACCTAAGACCAAAGCTAGTGACCTAAGTATATAATAAGAGCGAATGGCTGAAACATAAAAAAACTTATTATTAATATTGGAATATAAAATTGAAAAGCCTAGTGTGTATGTGTTTTGCATACAAATTACAGATTTTAAACTCAGTAATACACATTTAATGCATCAGTGGACAATATATAATCATGATAAAATTATTTTTTAATATTAAACAATTATACAAACGTTACAAATATTTTGTTTAAATCTGATAAAATTACTCTAAAATTATGCTACGACGAGAGAGAGAGAGAGAGACAGGTAATTATTTCGTGTTAATAATTTTTAAATATTTTAAAATTAAGTATGTCTATAAAAATACAGTAAGCTTTTAAATATCGTCTCTTTCGTAATGCATATTTTATTTCCTGCGACTTAAATATCAAATCCATAAATAATAAATAATATCATGATTATAACATCTGTTTCATTTATACTTACTTTTGTTATTCGGTACAGGTTCTATTATTATTGTATCAGGGGGTATGTTTGCGGATTGATTTTGCTGAATCGATTCTATCGATATATAAGATGGATTAACCGGATAAGGTGGGGGAGCATTCGGAAAATTATTCGATTGCGGATACGCTGATGCGGATGACGGATAACTGTCGGGCGTCTGCGAATTTTCTTGAATATTTGACGTTGGCTGGTTAGATGCAGAATTATTTTTCGCAGATGTAGATGCCTTTATTGTCTCCTCATACGAAGGTGGTGGATTATTCATCGTATGCATATTTGATTTATACCGTAGGATCGTCGGATTATAAAGTCGCGACGTTAATAACTTCCGAATCTAAAGAGAGAGAACGATTAATGTAATTAACAGCAATGATATATAATGTCAAAAGATATATATATTATTAAAAATATCCATAACACTTTAATTAGACCCGCTTATGCGTATGTTTAATAAACGACAATTCTATAATAATATTAGAGCAATTAGATAAATATATTTATTAAATGCATATTAAATGTGTAAATGAAAGCGGAGTATATAATTGAATGAATATAACTAAATAAAAAATGTTATAAACTACAAAAAGTAAATGATATGTATGTATATATTATATAATTTATATTTTGATGATAGACTAAACTTAAAAAATATAGGGGTACATGTTACGCAATCTTATTTATTATATTATCAATAATTATCAATTATATAATTTTTATTATTATCACAATACATATTTCTTTTAACCATATTTTTATAGCATCAAAAATAATAGAGAGAAAGATTAAAAGAATGTAAGAAAAAAGAAATACAAAGAAAAAAGTTAGAAAAACAGCATAAAAGATATACCTAGTAATAACATTTAAATGAAATAAATTTGATAGCTTTATACAAAAAATACATATATATTATTTACGTACACGAAAATAATAAGTTTTGTGCATCATATTTATTTTGAAAAATTTGCAGTACATTTTTATCTCTTTCAATTATTTTATCTATCTTTTATCTTAATTGATTTTCTTATATGATTAATATAATTGATTATAGCTCTAAAAAACATATTATATATATTTTATATTATATTTAAAACAAGTATTACAGAATGAACACAATTGTAGAAATAAGAAAAATTTTGTTACTATGTTTAGTTTAATCGTTGACTTCCTTAACAATGATCTTGAACATACAAATTATGGTTTGTAATCAGACACAATATACATATATCTTATATTATTTAATCTGTAAAATTACGATTACAAAAACTTTTAATTATAATTTTTTAATATCGTTTGAATTTAATTTCAAATAAAAGGCAAATACTTTGTTTTGTGACATTATTAAAGCGATATGCATCAATATTATGATTAAAAGATAAGAGGGGGCATATATGAGTCATTATACATCATAAATTTTAACAATTCCTTATTTTATCGCGCAATATTAAGTACTGTTTAACAAATATTATTTATTAATACAATTGATAAAAGCAACAATAATATTAATTTTTCTAATTATTTGTAATTTATTATGTGATTTATCGCAATGCTTATAATTTATTGTAAATGTTTCGATCCAATTACTTGTGCTATATATTACTTACAAATACGATTGTTTTTAATGATTGTTCTCAATATAATTACAAATTTAATTAATTCAAAGAGAGAGAAAGAGAGAGATTACTTGCAGAAAATTTATTAAAATCAAATTTTTTCTATTTATCAAAATATATACAAATATATTAGCATAAGCTTAGTAACTCTATCAAACAAATTAATAACAAAACTTAGATAAATTTGGTTTATTTTAAAGTAAATCATATGATGGCATCTCAAAATATTGAAACAGACTATACTCACTTTTTCCTTAACTTTTCACAGTTGGATTTCACAGCTATCCTTGACTTCTCATTGTAGAATACTGCGAACGTACCATTGATAAGTACAATCAGTTATCGGGATTACCATTATCATTATATCAAAACTCCCACTCTTCTAAAAAGAAATAAAGAAGCGCGAAATTTAAATACTTTATAATGCAATATAATACAAAATATTCAACATAATCGTGGATTAAGAGATATACAATTATGTCTTAAATTGCATTAAAATTGTATTAAACTAATTTATAATAAGTTTACATTATTTAAAAGGCGTACGTATTATGCTTAATATGAAATAGAAAATAACAAGTTAAAAAAAATAATTACTTTTAAAATGTTGACATTTAATTGACACATCTGCATAGTAAGTAAAATGTTTTTTTACTGTATTGTATATGAAAATATATCAGAAACAATACTTTTGCTATGATAAATCAAATTACAAAGACATTATTCATAATGCATATGTTATAATGTAATTAAAGCAATAAATCATAATGAAGAAAAATATAATTAAGAGATTTATGATTATAATATTCTAATACCAAAAGTTTTGCGAGCGATGTATGTCGTTTATATTTTATCGAGTGTCGGCTTTCGGCTTTAAAACATGCGATAAATGCTACGCGGTAAGAGAACGGTGTTTATATGGATTAGTTGGAGTCAAGTGATCCCTGTGATTCTCAATCGGTGCAGCAATAACACAAACGTATACGAGTTGCCAAAAAGTTTGCGCATACGAGACTCGTGTGGCAAGAGAGAATCGGAGAAGGAAAGAGAGAGAGAGAGAGAGAGAGAGAGAGAGAGCTGGTCACCGAGAGAGGAAAAATGGGTCGGCGCCGGGATTTAATCAATGGTTTCGGCGCCATTCGGGCGTGTCTGCAAAAAAAATGCACAAGCCGCTCGTATAACGACGAAAATTCGAATTGTCATTTGCTCCACAGTGCCTTCATCGAGAATGCATCCTCCGTTACTCTCTCTATTTCTTGCCGATGCACGTGACTTCGTTGCACTCTCTGTCTCTTGTCCGTCATTCCTTCCGATCACACACATATCGTTTTATCGCGTGTGCACCCTTTACTTTCTTCACTTTTTGTTTCCTTCTTTCGAACGACGTTCTTGCGGTACGTCACTTTGAGTCAATGTTCGAAGCACGATGAAAAAAAATTTGCGTGTATAACGTTGTGTGTCATCGACCGAATCAAACTTCCACCGATATAACGAACATATATATTATGAAAGAGCTTGTACGTGCTCGTTCGATCGTATCTCATGACGAAAGAATTGGTGACAAGCATAGGAATTGCCTGATTTATAGGCAGACACTTTCCAAAAAATTAATTTGTCAAAATTCTTGTAATTAATCACCTACACAAATGTACACACATACAATTTATCTAGGATGAAATTCAGAAAATATTTAAGTATATTATTTTTAAGTGTCTTTAAAATGTTTTTTTACCGTATTGTATATGAAAATATATCAGAAACAATACTTTTGCCATGATAAATCAAATTACAAAGACATTATTCATAATGCATATGTTATAATGTAATTAAAGCAATAAATCATAATGAAGAAAAATATAATTAATAAATATTAGAGTCAAAATATATTATTTAATAATAATCTATTTGTATCTATAAACAAATATTAAAATTAATATACATTAAACATGTCATGTAATAGTCTCAATTCTCAAAATTAGTGACGATTTTCGGTGAGGTAATAGGATATGCTAATTAGTATCCAGTTGAGATATATATAGAATTTTAAAAAATTATAAATTATTTATGAATCAAATATTTAATATGTATAATCCCTAGAATTATTTTTTACAAGAATTGCGTCACATATTCAAACACACATAGAGGCGATAATGTCGTACAAAAACTTTCTGTAAGAAATTGTAAAAAGAAAATTTGCATACATCTATAAAAAGTAACTAAAATTAACTAAATTAAATGCAAATTAGAAACAATTTGTTCATATTAAATTTATTTGTCAATAGATAATTAATGAGTAATGATTAATTATTGATTTGTATGTATTTAATAAATTAGATTAATCACTCTGGCTACATTTTTTTTAGTAAAAAGATTATTATGGCAAAACATGAAGATATCTAGAATTCGATTAATATTCATTATATCTTCGAAAGCACGCGCGTATATATATATATATATATATATATATATATTTATCAATATTGATCATGAGAAATGTATTTAATACAAAACTATATCACTAATGATTTATATGCTGCATTGACGTCATTAGTTGTTTACATCTTTGAAAATCAAAGATTCAAACAATTATTCTTTTTATAGTCATCTCTTTTTATTCTATTTATATCTGTATTTTATACATTATTTTTATTTATTTTATACATGTTTTCTTATTAATTATATTTTTTATGTTTTGTGATTAATGATATTCTTTTACTCTCTATATTAAACTTTATTATTATACATTATGTTGCATTAGTTGATGTAAAATGAAATGTATTTAATGCGATCACGATTTATATGGAGTGATATGGAAAATGTCACGTGTAATTCCTGTAACGCTGTAATATACGATCTTAAAACGTCACAGTTCGTGCTTTCGCGAAACTTGGACGTCTAACGTGTGTTGCCGGAAAATGTACTCAGACAGGTTGTCGAACGCTAAGGCACTGAGAATTCACGCCACATAATTTCCGGGTGTGAAGGTGGTTTCTGTCAGCAAGGAAGCAAAATGGCAATGTGACATCCACGACAATTCGCTATACCTGTATTGTATTATGTATATAACTGATGTTTTGTAACAAATATACAATTAATTACAATTTTTTCGATAGAGAAAGAAGCTATATAGACAGTCGTGATAATAAGATTATAATCGAGATTATAATTAGCTTCAAGTAGAGTATGATTAAAGTTGAATTAAACAGCTCAAAAATTTGGTAGAATTTATTTAGTAAATTAGTAAATTAGTAAATTATCATTCCGTATCATGAATATAGTTTGACACTTCTTGTTAGATTCTGTGCATAATTAATAATTATGTTTATCTATATTTCTATTATTTCACTTATCTCATATATTTGTAAATTATAGTCATTTATGTAATAATTATAATTTATAAATTTATCAAACTTTATATATTATTATTGATTAATCATTAAATGTGTATAGAAATACAAAATTTTTCCAGTTTAATAACGAATATAAAATTAATGATAACAATAGTCATTCGAGCTATCGCACTAAATTTTCTTTGCTAATTTATTTTATAAAAATCACATTTGAGTTACAAATATATACAACATAATACAACATTCACAACATACACAATCGTTTCAATATACTTTTAAACGTCTTTTGAATTTCTTTATTATGGAAATAATCTTTATTATAAAATTACATTTTGATACTCATTTGTTTGACTCATATAAATTAGCATTTAAATTATAATCTTAAAATACATTTTTTTTTATTCGTATAATGCCAATTACATGCAAATCAGAATACTCACGTATGCGTAAATTCTCCACTGAACTTTTCCGCATTTGTCTCACATAATGTTTACATGATGAAAAGACGTCAAGTCTGCCATTATAAGAAATTTCTGCTTATTGCTGCATAGTGGTTTGCTTATCCGCAAAAAATTCAAATACTATTAATATCTAAGAAAAATGCGCAAGATAAATAGCTGGAGTATTAAGAAACACTTTAATCTAACTACATACACACACATTTAATCTAATAATATTACTAACATATTTTAAGTGTAAAAAGTAGTTACAATTGGGAATATACAGACAAATTTATTTACTTTTTTGTAATTATCAATTTTATTATATATATATAATTATTGTATATATTTTCTTTATTAGTCTGAAACTTCTTGAAAACACAAAGTCGTATATAACTGATAGAAGAAGCCATAGTTTTTGTTACAATTTAATGACAAAGAGCACAAAAAATATGTATATTAAGATTAAGATTAAAATACTTAATATTCTCTTTTCTCATACGACATTATGCATGAGAAATGATTAACATACTCGGTAAAAGAATGAATATACAAGACCTATTGTCAATTGGCCTCGCAAATAAAATATACATGTATACGTGTGTCATCAAGGTCGTATCGAATACCACATGCATCTTCGCATACTACGCACTTTAAAAACATCATAAAATGATAAAACACAATATTACAATGGTCGCGAAACCTGTTGACCCTGACAATAAATTCATATAATTGAAACACAATTAAGTGAAAGATTTTTATACAATAAATTAATCAGAAAAATTTTTTACGAAATATAAACATCAAAATTTGCTATATGAAGAATTTCAATAAGACTTTGGACTGTCATCAAAAGACATATTTCTTTTGCGTATTTAACTCATTTTCCTTCTATAAATTTTCATGTATTCCGCGCTCATGTAATACTTCTTACTACTTCATTCCACTACCACGTCCCATCTTTCTCTTCGTTGGGCTCGTATACAATTTTCAGCCCCAATATTTTTCGGATAAAATGCGCGTGCCGATGGTTGTCGGCGTTTCCTACGTTATTCAGGGACAAATGGACTTTTAAATTGCAAGCACGAGTCCCATCTGTAGTCGGCCGTCGCAATGGATGCCGATAACGGATGCAGCGGTGTCGTCCGCGCGACAAATTCGTGTCATTATATCTTCGTGTTTACTTCAACACGTGCGTGCCTCGCGCTGTAATTACGACACCGCGATGCTTAATTTACGTCAGAAGTTACCGACAATGGACACGTTCCCGCGAGTTAATCACTGCAATTGATCACCTGATATACATGAATTTCTAATTAGCAAAAGTTACCTTGCATATGTACAGAGACAGATTTAGGAAACTTTCAAGGAGCAAGTGTTTAAGATTAAATTTTATTAATTATAGTTTTCATCAACTATATATTTTATATGCATTCAAGCAATTGTAAATTGACACTCCCGCTGCAGCTGCGTTGACACGACTATCATTTCAATTATTTATTAATTGTCCGGTCGGACTTGTTGTGAAGAGACACTCTTTCGCCAGTTAGAAAACTCGAGACCCACACAAACGGGAACAACAGGACGGAGTTCTGAAGAAGTTTCGCCGCCTCGAAAGCGCGTCTCGCAACAAATTCGTCCCGCGGCAGCGTTTTCGTATTTACTTCGCACACCGCTTTGTCCTTGCGTAATTACGTTCTACAGGAGCTTAACGCCCGACAATTACTCGGCGGTCGTCGTTAATTTCCCTCGAAATAAAAGGCGACGACCAGCCACGGTAGTGACGCTACAATACCGAGTGGGAGACGAGCGACGATACCAATCTTACGATTTCCGCGAGAAGCACAAAGACCGATCCCCTTCTCTCCAGGGTTGCAGCGTCCTTCGGAACAAGAGAGGTTTGTTCTACGTTCTCGTGGTCTGTCGACACGACTATACTTCCGCGGCTGATTATTTTCCGGGCGTCCAAGTCGTGTCGAAGTTAGCGAGAATTACCTGCTTTTATCGTAAAACAAGTTCATCCACTCTTAAGCCAAATCTAATCTACCCGTACAGTCCGGAAAGTCGTGTGTATCGGACCGCAACTTCGCAAAATTGCTACAAAGTATGCCAGCAAGGGCGGATTTCCGTTCTCTCGCGCTCTTTGTTACTAAACAGTCGTTCGTTCGTTCATTTATTTTGTGATAGTTGTTGGCGCTCGCTCTCATTTGCTACAAAGTTCTTAGCCAAAGAATGGAAATCGATTATAAAGGCTTTCAATGCAAAATTGCGATTGCAATCTATTTGTAAAGAATATTTTTTTTGTGAAGAAATAAAATATTTATTTCTCTCTTGCGACTTTTATCTAATACTTAGTTAACGATATGGAAATATCAAAAGTGCCACTAAATGTCAAAATATTATTCCTTATTTAATTTTATACAAATAGGCTTTATAATGATTTTAAAGAATTCAATTTTAAATTAGGCAAATTAGACTTGTGAGTGTTTCCATTTAATAATTGCATTTAATAGTTTCAATTACGTCGTGCGCAGATATACTTACAGAAATATTAATCGATTAATTTACAAAGCGTATAGCCTTTTATTCGTGGTGTCGTCATCGCTTCCCGTTTATATCTCCCAAATATAGTGTTCATCGTGCACGGGAGCTCAGCGTCAAATTTTAACAAGCACGTTTCACATGGGCTATGCGTATACGTACACCATGAGCAGTTATATATATGGCGCATGTGAAAGAAAGAAGAGAGGACGCGAATGTGCCATAAGAGCAGCTTCACGTAGACGAAGCAGTCGTAGTGCGCACCCCGGTAGTAACCCACCTTTATGATCAACGTTCTTGGAAAGTGCATTTTCCTCTTTTCTCCGTTGTAGGGCAGTAAACGCGACAGAAATCATTTTGAAGACCTATGAAATTAAAAATAGTTTTTATAGTCATAATTTTAATGACACAGTCGTCGATGTAGATTGGCTCGTGCTTAATAATAAGCTGTCACATCTCTTAATGATCTTGTTCCATTTTGAGAGAAACACGTGTTTGCTTATTATAATTATTATACGTTAACATTTCTTTGTTGTTATTGTTATCTGATTTCTGCGGAATATTTTGCTACTTATTAAGCTACTCGATAGAGATTTTTTATTTTTATTTAATTAATTCATTCGATTCTTGGGACAAAGAAATCATGCTAGATTTAGTTATTCTCGAAGTCATCAGACCTATCATTTCATTTACTGTTACGGTTGTAGCATATCGCGAAAGTGTGACGTCTCATCCCGTAGCCGGTTTACGGCGCGGCTGTCTCCAGAAATAAAACGTACGAGAATAGCACGTGGTTTCCAGAAATCGCCGCGTCGTTCGTTCGCCGGCCGTCTTCGCGAATCCACGAGAAATCACGACGGAGTTATTTCGACGACCGTAAAACGACCGGTCGGGAAACGAGCGTTGCGCAAATTCCGGAAGAATCGGCGAAGGACATGCGAAATACATACGTAATCACAAATATAACGCACATATATTCCAACTGTACATACGCCATACCGCACGCGAGGAATAAGTTTTTTTATAGATATTGCTCTCAGTATCTTGTCACAAGATTGAGCTGTGTATACTTCACTGAAAATTAAAAATATCCGAATTACGTTTTTCATTCAAAGTCAACCATGAATAATGATCGATTAAATATTCAAGGTATGTTGGCCATTGTTAACATAATTGATTGTGATGAAATAAATTGGCAGTACGCGACGTGAAGTTGCACCTTACGTGGTTTTATTTCGTCATATAAATTCGGTAGCATCTTATAACAATATAAATATATTATATACTATTATTATTATAAATGCTACTCGATTATAAATTTATATTAAAATTGCCTGATTGTTTTACAAAATTTATTGAAGTCATTATTTTGGCCACCTACATTGTTGATTGTGAAATTATATTTTCTTATGCTATATATGTAATTATCATTTATTTTAATGTAATTAATTATTCATTATTGAAATTTTTGCAAAATTTTGACGTTACTAGTTAAATAATAATCAGTAATTTTCTCTCTTGTTTCCAGATATAAAATCTCGTCGCAGATACTTAATTGTTTCGTTTTTTTTCATTTTACTTGCGCGGCACGTGTTATTTAAAATATAATTATATCAACATCTTAATTGATATATAATTTACTGCACGAAAGGGTTCATAACAACATAAGACTTCATTTGAAGTTATATACGCAATATTATTTAAATAATTGGAGACAAATCTGGTTTACATTAATATCACTCGTTAAACCAGGTGTCAACCTTAACCCAATTCTTATGCGATTATGTTAAGTCAGCGATATTATTCAATGATGTTTATGATCTGTCGATAATCGTTTTGCAATAAAGTTTTGCGATCATAATTCTTATACGTTGCTGAGATTATAAATAAAGCTAATTACATTATCCACTTGAGGAAGATAATAATAGCAATTGATTTTGTATTGTAACTTATTTGTTTCATATTCTCTTATTATACGTGGAATTTAAGCATTTTAATTGTTTGTTTTAATTGTTCGCTCAACTTTCTCTTAATTATAATTAAGTCGCTCAATGCAAACAGATTTTTGGACTTCAACAACGATGTACGTATCTTTGCTCGAGAAACCTGGTTTTTTCATATGGGAGTCAACATGGCTGCGATCTTAAATGACCGCGGTCATCGGGAGTTATCCACGTTCTTGCGAAATCGTTACAGCTGATCACGTGTCCGCCCCTCATCGTGTTGCTGGTCGACTGGTCGTGTATAGCGATCGCAGTTTCACCGTGTCGTGCGTTCGGTTCAGTATTATCAGGCACCATCATCGCGACGCATCTCTTACTATACCGGTCCCCGGATTGGCACGCCGCTATAGGTGCGTGCGTACGTGCGTATATATGTATGCATTCACGCGCCAGGTGCATCACCAGGCGATTGTCAGTCGAATCACGGACGTGCACGATACTCGCGACAGTCTCGTCGCTCAGTCGTCGCTCGAGAGGTGCACCTAGCATGGAGAAATGTCGAGGGACACTGGAAAAGGTATGCGTGTACGGTAGATTTATTGCGTGAACTTTTGTGTCAATAGTCAGCTCCATCTCGAGCGCGTTTGATATTTTGACGTCGTTCGTTTCTGCGAGCGGCAAACCGGTTCCGCGCTTCGACTTGCCTCGATCGCTTCAAATTTTGATCTTCGTTTATAGGTTTTTTTATCGGTTTTTCATACCGATGGTTGCAACTCGCCGTTTTTTTCATGTGCAGTTTGTTAGAGTTTATTACTTAAGTGACTCGTAAATATTATTAAGTAAAATAGTAAAACAGTTATGTGTCTGCACTTTTAATAACTGATAGAACTTACTGTAGAAACTACCAAGTGCTATAATTTGCTGTGACTTATTCTGTGCTAAACTATAAAATTATTTTATTTTTTTTTAATTGTTAACATTATTTCATTATTGTAAATTTTGGTTTCTAAAATTAAAAAAAAAATATTTTTATTATACTATTTACTATTCTTTGACTATTTAAAAGTTAAACACTAAAACATAAACGTATGTATTAGAGAGATTTCGTGTAAATATTATGCACGCAAATGTATGCAAATTTTTATGATAAATATCAATATTATTTAACCGTAAATAAATTGCGTCATGGGAAAGGAAAGTGGCCGACGTTTTTAGTGAAATGTTCCTTTAAAAGAGACGCATACATTTGACGTAACGCAAGATGTGGGAATTCGGCTCACGTTACCTCTTACGAGAGTACTGTAGTAGAAAGTGTTTCTTCGCACTTTAATAGTGAAGGTAATATACTGGTTTTCAAGGACTTGCCGATAAGATAAATGTTACATATGTGAAAGCGATCAATAATTAGTATTAGCAGTAGTACTTTAATAGCTGCGACTTGCGAAAACACGCTTTTATATATTCATCAGGAAATGCTATCATAAAAAAATCTTTTACAATTCTGTCTAAATGATGTCATTCAATTTATTAACACATTATAATGGCAGATGTGTATAACGCATATATTTTGTCATTACAAGCGTAAAACGATCGTTGAGGAAATCTTTGGTTTTTTATTTTTTTAGTTAAGTCAGTGTGACGCAAATTAAATAAATTATAATATGTATAATATGGTAAGTTTATAATATAATATAAAATACCTATACTTTTTTTTATTTTTTATATTTTACATTTTGAAAAATGTTTTCATGACATCGAATGATCTCTGCACCTTTAGATATAAAAATACTCGCATTAAATTGACTTATTGGCCTTCGTGGATGAAAGTAGTCTCAAGTTTCAAGGCGTTTGCTAGTTGTGTATGCACCTTGTGTAACAGTGCAACTATACATATACAGTTGTATTTATATGATATTGAATGTTGTGTTCGCGTAATAAATTTACTAGTTAATCATATCCGGCTGTAACAAGGAAATCATAAATCGATCATAATTGTTAAATTGCTCATAAGATTTTGTAATAATCATAAATCATGTTCAGTGCAATATGCAATAATGATGAAAAATATTTTTTGAGCAAACAATAACTTATAAAATTCGTGACACAGTACTATGTTAATAACGCATGTCGTAAATTAAAGCTAATCTTGCAATTTACATATAACGTGCACATGGTTATTTTTCGAACCTAATAATCTGTGCTTTACATTTCGTCGCGTGAGATTTACAACAGATAATGATCTGTAATGTGTAAAAATATTCTTAAAGCGGTTCATATCAACGACCTAGAGAAAAATATACTATCAGATAATATTGATCTGTGACGCGCGCGTTCACGTAAGTTGATTATTAGCATAAATCAACGTAATCCAGGCTTTTAGCTAAATATCAGGAATGCATCGCGAAAACTATGTCGTAATTGTTAATATCTGCAATTATTATGCGATTCAACTTTATCATGCAGACATGCATTTACAAGATTGAAATTTTTCTTAAACTTATTCATATGCTACATAAATTATATCATAGTGTTTTTTGTTAAACTTAATATTAATCTAATTTTATCATATTATCAAATCATTAATTATTAAAATTAATTATTAAATTATTAGTCATTAGAGTTACGAGAAAGATAATTATATATACAATAAAATTAAATAATGATAATAAATTACTAAGTAAATTAGAAATGATGGGTCAAAAAAAATACTTTTATTATACTTTAATTATATATATACATTATTAGAAATAAAAATATAAGTGAATAAATTAGAATTTAGAAAACGTAAAATATGAATTAGAGCAATATTGATTAAAAAATAACCTGATTTAATTTTTTTAGATAACTTAGAAATTCTTATAAAGATTCTTGTGTGTGTTAAGATAGTTTTAAATACATTTATTAAAAAGTTTATAATAAGAGCACTCAATGTAATTTAAATATAGGCTGTGTCTTTATAACAGTAAAAAATTATAGTTGCATAACTTGTATATGTATAAGTCTATAATGTGTTACATTTTATTTATACTTTTATATATCGTCTAATTACGATACATTTTTTCTTCGGTCAGGAATACTCGAAATTAAAAAAAAAAATTTTTAAAATATTGCTCTAATCAAAGATATGTGCAATTTAATTACAGATTTTTCGACAAGCCCGGAGACCGAGCAGTTATTATCTACTGACACGTGCAGAGATGCATGTGTAAGATTTCAGCGATGGTCGACGGACAAGTCGTATCTTCAAGGTGACGCTTCGTCATCAAGATCAACGCCTCAGGACAAATCTGTACAGAATGGGGAAACCTCGAACAATCCGGGTGCCGTGATAACGTTATCCGTAAACAATGGGGATAATGACGATCCGCCGCCTTATACGGCGATTCCGCCGCCTTACAGCGCGATTACGCTACCAAATCACACCGGCTGGCCGTATGGACTCTTTTCGTTCGGCAACACGCATTCCACGGACGAAACGAATTCTAGGATGCAAATACCATTAACACCTTTCGAAGCATCTCTAACACCGGCTACAGATTTCCATTCCCAGGGGACTAATGGTCAGCACGCGTTGATGCCGTTAACGTCTGAACGATTCTTCAAGTTGGGTTGCCGTAGAAGTTTTTAGAATCGACATCTTATGCAGACAACAGAATTGCGGAGAAAACTAATGATAAAAAATCACGAAGTGAGTATCAATCATTAAAATTTGTAATTGTTTTATACTGCGTATTTTTTAACTGTAAAATTTACTATAAACAAATTTATCTATGTATATAATACATTCTGAAATTACTAAGGCATACACAGACATATATATAATTAATATATGTATGCTCTTTGTATAATGAAAGTTTTTGTCACATCTCTGGAATTAAAATTTAATTTTAATTGAAAAGAATTTATACATCAAGAAAAAATAAAAGAAAACATTTCTTGCTTAAAACGAAAATTATCAGTAAATGGCTTGTAAAAAATATAAAAAGCTTGTTTTTTTTAAGAAAAAAAAATTGTTTAGCATTTCTTTGCAACACGTGGTTTGGATAAAGTATTATTATTAGCATTTATAAAGTATTAAGATCAGAATTTATCTCTTAGTTTAATAAACACAAAGATGTCAAAAGCCAATGATTTCAGATTGCAGACAGAAGATCAAATTTAAAAGTCGATTTCAAAATTAATGACAATTTATCGTCTACTAAAAATATTTGCAAATAAAAAAAGAGTCTAAAAGAAATAATTTTTAACAGGATACGGCGCTATTTTTGCGGCAGCGGCGGTTATCATCTTTCTTATGGTTCTATCCTTGATGGTTCGTTTAGTTATGGAAAGGAGTTGGTGGCGAAAATAACTAATTAATTAAATCAGCGATTATTTATAAAATATTCCTCGATAAATTGCATAATCCAAAAGAGATTATTTATCGACGAATCTGTGATTAAATTTTAGCGTAGTTTTATTTAACACGAAATAGATTTTTGTATTATTATACACTAGCTATTTCGAACTAATTTGCACACATTTTGCATACTCCCATTTATATTATTTGTAAATGACAGAGTTTTAAAGATTTATCAATTTTAATTAATACGTTACTTGTGTTTTCAATAAACTGAACATGTGGCATATATAATGTATGCGCGTCTATAATAAAATAATGATTTGATAATTGTTTTTGATTTATCTTATCTTATGTGTAAGCAATGCCATTTATTTATGCATCAAATGTCAGATTTTATATACTTTTATTACATAACTTGTACATTACATCTCTATTAAAAAAGCATGTGACTAAGGTTATCATAATTAATTTATCAATGTTATCATAATTGACACAATGTTACGCAGATATTAGTTAATGCCTTTCATTATCTCAAACGATAATAAAGTTCAAAAAAATGTATGAGGATATAACTATAATAATAAAATCCAGACTCTCTGATTGCGACTCTAGACTCTTATCCTATTTAGATTGTTTATTACGTAAATTTGCGTTACGACATTATTATTGTAAATAATAAAAAAATGCATTTTAATAGTAATAAATAAGAAAGATATGCAGTAATATGTATTCTTTCAGAGTAACAATATATCTATTTTAAAACAAAGAATATTTACCGAACGTGCTATAATATATATGTATATGTTATTATTAATAATGTAAAATATTATTTTTTATATATATATTTTTACTCTGTGACTTGTATATATATTGCATTATTAAATATATCATTAAACGTGAAGAGGGAGTTTTAATAGGAGTTTTAATGATAATGTTTGACTTTGTTAGGGGATACGCTTTAATTATGTTGTAATATGGGCTTCTCATTTCTCCCGTCAAAATGCTATTATAATTCTAATTATGTTTAACAATTTTGTCAAACCATTGTCATTCTGATAGCATCAGTTTTGAATCCATATTCGAAATAATGTCCCTGAGATCAATTAACAAACAATGCATCACGTGGGAAATTAAGTGGTAAAGTAATGCACACTTTGTGTAATAAGACTAAATTTTTTATTTCCACAGAAAATTATATCCATAAGCATACGTATGTTATTCGTATGTGTAAATCACATAGAATACATACAGAACACGCACACAAATAATTAATTATAATTTTACAAATTTTTCCGAAAATTGGTTTTTATTCACATAATTTTATATACAGTATATACTTATAATTTAATTTAAAAGCTTAATTATCGGACAATAAACAATCAACATTTTCTTCAAATAAAATTTGAAGGATATTGCAGGAAATTATGCGCGCGTAATATGTATATTTATCAATTTACCGGTCTTTATTTATGTAATTTATAAATCTCTAACTAATTGAAATGTCATCGGATGTTATACAAAGTTCATAATTATTTGTCAAGACGGTTATCTGTTTAATGTAGAAACTTCGACGCTTATTGGTCCGATGGGACGCCGATGACGAAGTAGTGAAAGACCAGGAAGGAGTAGACAACGTCGTGGTAGAAGAGAAGGTAACTGAGCAATAAAGTTAAGAAAGGGAAGGGTAAATGGAGATGCTCATCGTATACTGATTAAAAATACAAACTGGTATCTCTCGAGAATAGGTGATCAGAAAAGTCTGGATATCCCAGGAGATGTGAAAGTTTGTAACTGAAAGTAAATTCTCAAGATGAAGATGGATAAAGCAACTAAGAGCACTAAGTAGACTTTTAGTATAACTAACTTCTAAACGATAGATATTTTTAAAATATCTAAATATCGGTTCAATTACATAATTTTTATAATATATTTTACATTTCAAAAATAAGAGACGTTGCAATATTATTGAACGTATGTTTTGCCCAAAACCTTCATTAATTCGAGCATTTGCAATTCAAATTTAGGTTCTTCTTCTGACCAGCACTTAAATATGCAAATGATCCTGCACGCATCTTCGTGTACGGTTAAGACGAAAAATTATACGTGCATATAATTTTTATAATGCTTTGAAGTACGGGTTTCTTGTTGAAAATATATGATAATAAAAGGGCCTCATAAAACAAAAGAGCGAGGTCGATTTTCCTCGGCCAGTGGTTTGCGCAAAAGCCGAAGAGGATCAAAGATGATAGAAGTTTAATGCAGGACGAGAAGCCTCAAGGACGAAAAGGCTATATAAAGCCAGACAAGTTAGCGGCCAGAGCAGCGAGGAAAACGAAGGGTCGGAGAGGGTTGATGAAAAATACAAAAATCCTCTCCCTTGAAAGGATAAAGGGAATGGCGGCGGGTTCGTGCCAGGAAAACGACACGATGCCAGGACACTCGAGGCAGGCCCGCGAACGAGGGTAAGGTGTTTGTCAACGGTTGCCGGTAGTTAATTACTTTACATGAAAGGAACTTCCAGCCGTTTCGCCACTCGAGGCAACCTCGGTCTCCGCGTGCCATCAATTCCTCCTCCTTCTCCCTTCGCATCTCCTTCATAGATCTGAGCGTCGTCCCTCGCGTCCCTCGCGTCTTCCTGTGTCACCTGTAAGAGTTTACGAGTATCTAATCCGGCAGACGGGTCGTACTTGCTCTGTAAACGATGCTTCTCCGCTACTTTCCCAACGACCTCGATAAAGGGATTCTGATTGCGCGCGAAAATCTGCATCCAGAAGCGTAATATGTTACGTTTCTTTTAATCTAGATTTCAACAATTTAAATAACAGACACGGTGCAATTTTTATTTTACAACTTTTGAGATTTACGATGAGAATCTAGTTTTACTTGTTAAGTTTTAATAATCAATTTGCGTTTATTATGTATTCGACTATTGAACATCACACACGTCTTTTTTTAATGCGTTATATAAAAATTAATTAAATTAGCATATGTTAATTAAATTAAAAAAAAAAAACACGATACTTTATTCAAATATCATCAAGTAGTTTTTTTTACACGATTTGAGTCTTTTCGTAAAAAATATGCCGAACCAATCATCTTAATTTATACTTATTTTATAGAAGTAAGGTGTGAAAAATTAATATACATGTTTTCGAGAGATACAAATTGAAAAATTTTTATTCCGAAGAAGAATAAAAAAGCAAAATTAAAGATAAAAAGTAAGAAAAAAAGAAAAGAGTCGCATCTTTTATGTGCAGGTGTACCTATGTACAAGAAGAAAAAACAACTTGCCTCATAAACTATATTTAGCTTTAGCAATCATTTGCAGGATATCGTCTCTTTAAGATTTCATCTTCTTGAATTTATATACCCTAACCACTGTTGGATTACATGCTCAGATTCAAGGACGCGAACATACATATTATAAATATATGAATTAATAATTATAAATATCTTTTTTTATTTCACATAATATACTTTCAATTTCACGTGTTACTATCAATAAACTGTTATTGAATATTATGCAATACACTGTATGCACGGTAACCGAAGTCGCGATTTCGCAGTTTACAAAAGATTTTTCGCACGATGGCGGCGATATCCGGCAGGTCTGAACCGTATACAGTTATACACAATGTGTGTGCATGCGTGTATATTTCGAGCGAGGAGTTTTCGCGATGTTTCTTACTCGTTCTCGCAACAACGCAGTAACAGAAATAGTAGCGCAGCGTGTGTGGGCGCGATACATCATTCATATATACCCGAATCTCATATCGGTTTCTGATCCTCCGGCTATGATGGCTTTTGAAGGGCCACTTCCCTTCCGCGTCTCACCCCTGGACTCTCAGCCGCTCTGTTTATTGTTACGTCGCATTTATGCATGAACCCTCGCGATTCTATTGTCAGGAACACATGACGGACTACATCGGGCGCCGGAGAGAACGCTTCGTGCTTTCTGAGCGGAAGTCGGTAGCGGCGTGAATGGAGATGGGGTTTATTGGGCCAAAGTGAGAGAGAGAGAGAGAGAGGGAAAAGAGCGGAAATCGATGGCATGGCTCTATTTTGCCAAGAGCGTGTGACCTTTCTACCGTGTGCGGTTCTCGAAAGCCAGATTATCGTTTCTCTCGTGTTTTTAATTACACGCTTGTTGCCTAAACGTTTCAGCGAGGTATTTAACTCGCTCGTCCTTACTTTTGTAACTCGCGCTTTTAGCAGTATAAAACGCGCTTGTAATAGACTCTCAAGTAACAAAAGACCAAGAAGTGTACAATTAAGGGATAAATTTTTTAGATAATAATCTCATTTACTATTAAAGATTTCTCTTAACCCTTAGTCCCTTAGACTCATGGGTCGTTTGCGACCCAAACGAAAGGTGTTCCTCACCTTTAATTTCTTTTTTATTTTTGTCGATATCTTCATTTGGCTTAAAGTTATGATATTTTAAGTGAACAAGTGATTTTTCCTTAGGTACCTCCGTTTCTTAATAACAAACTATATAAAAAAATAATTTTTATCGAAATATTATGATTGGGACTTCAAGTTGAAGGTTGCAAGAAGCTTCATGAATTTCTTCAGATTTTTTAAAGCGTTTTTACTGATCCAAATAACGCAAAGACGCAAACGACCCATGAGTCGGGATTAAAGGTGCCGAAAAGAACCGTCGGGACTAAGGGTTAAGATTAATAATGAAAAGATAGATTATGAAAGATGTGTTTTGTTCATTTCGTAAGATAAGTAATTCATGAATATATATTTCAAATATTTGATCGGCAGGAATAATCCAACAATTGTCATTGCGCAACAATCTATGCTACATCTCAAGGTCATAATCTCGTGAAGGGTAGGTCTGAAGGGTGCAAGGTCGGAAGCGAGGGTTAGATCAGTGGCGCTCGCGGGGACGGTTAAACGAGGAGGAAGCTCTTCGACGACGTCGTTTCCGGCCAAGTCTGATGCGTCTTGACTCGAATCCCGACGTTATCGCGACAATTGAATGGCTCGAGTCCTCCTTGCTTCGGCGCTGTCGCTGCGCGACTATGATAAGCCTCAGAAACAGCCTTTAACGGTTTCCCTCGCGATTACCGGTATCTACAATATCCCCGATTCAAGCCTGTCGTCTGCGTTGCACCGTTTCATCGTCGAAGCTGTACCGAAAACACGCATGCAGCGGCGAGGAACCATCGGTGATCCTTTCTTGGATGTGATTTTAGATTTCGCGCCGCGTTACGAGAGTGTTTTCTAAACGTGTTATGACAGCAATCGAAATATATGTGTCTGCCTGCGTGTGTATCCTTTACGTCTTATCAGCTTTAATAAAATCTTGAGAGTTATATACGGATCTTTATTCAAATATTCCTTTCATTTTATCTGGTTATTTTTCATTGACCGATATAATTCGCTTAGATGCAATTGTAAAAGTTGTGTCTAGAACTAACTCAATTTACGTCTGTTATGATGGAATACTATTCACAGAGTACACAAGAGAAAGCATCAATATTTGCAAGGGACAATTAGATTTTCTCTTCTTTATGTGATAATATAAGGAACTGCAATATAAATATACGATTCGTTCTGTGAAATAATTGTCTTAAAAAAACTTTGTTAAACGTGTAATAT